TATCTTTGAGCAGACTTGCTAGACTTAGTCTGTATTTCTTGCCACCAAACTTACCCAATAGAGAAATCAAATAAACTTACTCTTTTTTTAAAAGATTTTATTTATTTATTTGAGAGAGAGAGATAGTGAGAGAGAGAGCAGGAGCAGTGGGGAGAGGGAGAAGCAGGCTCCCTGCTGAGCAGGGAGGCCGACATGGGGCTTGCTCCAAGGATCCTGGGATCATGATCTGAGCCAAAGGCAGACGCCTAACCGACTGAGCCACCCCAAATAAACTTATTCTTTATCAAATCTGTAATGCAAGTGATAAGGGTTGCATCCACTTGGTGGTAATTATGATCATATTTAATTGTGTGTGTGTGTCAGTATGTATGTGTGTGTGTGTTTGATTGCATGATTTAGTATTTTACCAGATGCTGTAGAGCATTATTTTCATCATCATTGTCATCATAAGCATCATTGTAATCATAGTAGCTCTTGTTTATAGAGAACTTTCTATGATCTGACCACTGTCTTAAACACTTTGCATACAAAATAACATTTATTATGTAATTACAAAATACAATCAAATGGATATTTTCATTATCACCATTTTATAGGTTGGGAAGGTGAGGCTGAGAATGTTGCTTAAAGTCATGTATCTGGAAAGTGACATAGCAACAGTCTGAATCCAGGTTGTCACACTCCAAAGACAGATGATACTCTTAAGCTCTGCACTGTAATATAGAGACATAGTTCTGCTCCAAAGATATTATATTCCTGGTTGATTGTTTTCTTTATTTTGAATGTGGAAATGAGATGGGGATAACACTGTACTTTTGGGAAATTTAATACTCTATTTTTGTTGGCTTAATTTTATTATCCTTTGTTTTATGTAGGTTATATTGTTTGACGAAGGCAAGGGTCAGGCAGGTGGGGCACAAAATAGATAAATTGTCCCAAGAAGGCCTCTTTGGGAAGATGATGTTGAAACTGAGACAGAATGATAAAGACAGCTATACAAAGATCAGGGACAGGGTGTTCCAGGGAAAGGGAAAAGCAAATGTGAAGATACTGATTTGGGAATGAACTTGGTGAGGTTAGAGGGACAGAAAATAGTCACATGAGGAGTGAGCAAGGGAGTGAATGCTAAGACAAGACAGAGCAAAAGGCTGGGACTGGATCAGTCTAGGCCATAGCAGGGAATATGCATTTTATTATAAGCACAGTGGGTTATGCAGAGCTGCAGTGACTACCAGATTTATTTCTTAAACCAAAAAATGTTTTAAATTTATAATTCCATATTTATAATGTTGGCCACAACATTATGATTATTCCTTGTCTGTACTTTAGTATTTTTCATCATTTGTGAAGAAACATTAAAACAAGTTAAATGGTAGTGTGCCGAGGTTTTTTTCCTTCTTTTAAAGATGGTTATTTAACTAAGACTAAACAATGGGAACCCCTTGTGAACATGCTCAGTATCATTGTGGAGAACCAAGAGGGTCTCTAACTGTAACAATGTTCATGGTTGTGGTTTTTTTTTTTTAATTTTTTATGTTTTTTTAAAAAATAAAATTCCAAATGTTTATAAAAAAAATAAGCACAGTGGGTTAGCCATTTACAAATTTAGGGGAGAAGAATAATATGATTTGTTTTACATTATAAAGGATTAATTTTTACTCTGGTAATGGTAGAGTAGCCAACAACCCTCCACAGAACAACTAGAAAAATTATACAAAATAAGGAGAAAATATTTATTTAAAGGCATTGAAGAGCTACCAAGGCTCTTGGGACTTGAGAGTCCAGAATCCTGGAGAGAGGAAGTGTGCTGAAGGGACCTCAGTATCTTCACTGTTTTTCCTCTATGAAGCATTTGTGGATTTGTAAATGATAAAGCTCTGAGAAGCTAAAAAGCCCAATAGAAAACAGCAGCTAAGAGGTTAGGAAAATTGAGCAGAGATTTTGACAGTCCTAATGATGCAAAAATCCTAAAACAAAATAATAAAAGACCAACCAATATATACGAAAGAGAATATGTCATGAGCAAGTTGTATTTATCATAGGAATGAGAGGTTGGATAACATTAAAAAAGTCAAATGATATAATAAAGAAAAATCATATAATCTTAATAGATACAGAAATGCATTTGATAAAATTTATATTTAATCCTGATGAAAATGTTTGGCAAACTAGGACTATAACTAAACATCTTTTTTTTTTTATAACTAAACATCTTTAATAGAGAATATCTGAAAGTAAGATGAACCCAAAGAAATGCACACCAAGACACATTATAATTAAAATGTGTGTAAAGACAGGGAGAATCTTAAAAGTAGCAAGAAAAAAACCAACCTGTTAACATTTGAGGTAACCCCTATATGACTATGAATAGATTTATCAGCAGAAACGTTGCAGGCCAGAAGAGAATGGCACAATACACTCAAAGTGCTGAAAGAAAAAAATTTCCAACCAGGAATACTCTATTCAGCAAAGTTATCATTCACAATTGGAGGAGATATAGAAAGCTTCCCAGATAAGTTAAAGGAGTTCATTACCACTAAACTGGCCTTACAAGAACTGTTAAAGGGAATTCTTTAGGCTGCAAAGAACAAAGAAAGGGCACTAATTAGAATAAGAAAACATAAGAAAGTATAAATCTCACTGGGAAAGGTAAATATAGAGTAAAGTTAGTGGATTAATCACTTACAAAGTATATATAGCTAAAAAACAGAAGTGGGAAAATAACTAACTACAATAATTAGTTAAGGAATACACAAGATACAAGAATGTAAAGTGTGACTTCAAAAGCACAGGATGTGGTGGATAAATAAGTCAGAATGTAGAGTTTTAGAATGTGTTCAAACTTAAGTTGTTATCAATTTAACATAGACTGTTAAAATTTGTTTTTTGTAACCACAAAGCAAAAGCCTATAGTAGATACATGAAAGATGATGAGAAAGAAATCTAAGCATACCACTAAAGAAAGTAATCAAACCACAAAGGAAGATGGGCCACCTGGGTGGCTCAGTCAGTTAAGTGTCTGCCTTTGGCTCCGGTCATGATCCCAAGGTCCTGGGATCAATCCCTGCACTGGGCTTCCTGCTCAGTGAGCAGTCTGCCTCTCCCTCTCTCTCTGCCCTTCCACCCCTGCTTGTGTGCACTCTCTCTCAGATAAATAAATAAAAATCTTAAAAAAAAACCCACAATGGGAGAAAGCAAGAGAAGAAGAAAGGTACAGAGGAAGTACAAAACAGCCAGAAAACAACAAACAAAGTGGCAATAAGTATGTGCCTGTCAATATTTACTTTAAATGTACATGGACTAAATTCTCCAATCAAAAGACACAGAATGGCTGAATGGATAAAAAAAACAAAAACAACAACAACAACAACAACAAAACCAACAAGACCTATCTATATGTTTCCTATAAGTGACTCACTTGAAAGGTAAGGACATACACAGTTGAAAGTGAAAAGATGGAAAAAGATATTCCATGCAAATGGAAACCAAAAGAAAGCTGAGGTAGCTATTATTTCAGACAAATAGACTTGAAAATAAAGACTGTAAAAGAGACGAAATAATAAAGAGGTCAATCCAACAAAAGTATATAATATTTGTAAATATTTATGCACCCGACATAGGAGCACCTTAATATATAAAGCCAATATTAATAGCCCTAAAGGGAGAAACAGACAGCAATACAATAATAGAAGAGGACTTCAACATCCCCCTTACATCAATGGATAGATTATCCGGACTGAAAACTAATACAGAAACACTGGCTTTGAATGACAGATTAGACCAGATGGAATTAATAGATATATACTGAACATTGCATCCCCAAACAGTAGAATATACATTCTTTTCAAATGCACATGAAACATTCTTCAGGATAGATTATATGTTAGGTCACAAAACAAGTTTCAATAAATTTAGGAAGACTGAAATCATATCAAGCATCTTTTGTGTATGGTGACAGGTATTGACCAGACTTTTATAGCGATCATTTCACAATATATACAAATATTGACTCATTAGGATATACACCTAGAACTAGTATAATGTTGTATGCCAGTTATACCTCAATAAAATAAATCTGTAAAGAAAATCCACAGGAAACATCATGCTTAAGTGAAATATTGAGAGCCTTATCCTGAAATTAAGGATGAGAAATGGGTGTCAGTTATCACTCCTTCTTTTCAGCATTATACTGGAGGTCTTAGTGAATTCAGTGAGGTTAGGAAAAAAAAAAGATATAAGGATTGGAGACAAAGCAATAAAATTATATTATCTGCAAAGGTATAATTATGTAAATTTAACAAATGAATTTAGCAAGTTTGCTGGATACAAAGTCAATATAAAAATATATTTTGTATATATTAACAACAAAGAATTACAAAATGAAATTTTAAAACGATAGTATTTAATGGGGTTCCTGGCTGGCTCAGTCAGTGGAGTTTGTGACTTTTGATCTTGAGGCTTTGGGTTCGAGTCCTATGTTGGGTGTAGAGATTACTTAAAAATAAAATCTTTTTTTTTTTAAAGATTTATTTATTCATTCGAGACACAGAGATACAGAGAGAGAGAGCATGAGCAGGGAGGAGGAGAAGCAGAGGGAGAGGGAGAAGCAGGCCCCCTGCGGAGCAGGGAGCCCGATGCGGGGCTCGATCCCAGGACCCTGGGATCATGACCTGAGCTGAAGGCAGATGCTTAACCATCTGAGCCACCCAGGCACCCCTTAAAAATAAAGTCTTTGCTGAAAAGGTGTCATGGCTGCACCTGTATAGAACCACGGGGTTCTGACCTCAGCGGTTCTACTTGTCCCAGTCCCTGTGCTTAAAGTCCAGGTTCGGCCGTTGCTAAATCTTCATGTTAAAAAGTATCTGTCAACATTAAGGTTTTTTCATTAAAGACCTGTCCAAAGCAAGGAAACCAACGGCATGTCTTCTCTTTCACTCCCTGAAGTGGCATTGTATTATATAGACTACTTTAAAGTGATTTGAAAGCGTTTGAGTGGATAGCACAACGAATAGCAGAGCAGGTTCCTTTTTATGGAACCTCAGACGATTCAGTACTTTAGTTCCAACAAGCAGAACTATGAGGTTGTATCCTTTGGGATTTTCCAGACTGAAAATTGTTTATTCAAACTGGAACCCAAGAAACCTTCTCTCTCTTTTTTTTTAAATTTTTTATTATGTTAATCACCATACATTACATCATTAGTTTTTGACATAGTGTTCCATGATTCATTGTTTGTGCATAACATCCAGTGCTCCACGCAGAATGTGCCCTCTTTAATACCCACCACCAGGCTAACCCATCCCCCCACCCCCCTCCCCTCTAGAACCCTCAGTTTGTTTTTCAGA